ACAGGCTGTGAAAGACAGAGAGGTGGAGGGAGCATGGGGGTGGCGGCCCGCCACAGGGCCCCAACTCTTCTAATACTTCCAGAAATGGCTTAACGCATTACCAAATCTCAGAGCCCTTGGGGGAATAAAATGAACAACAACGAACACCTCATTGTGAAACACGTGTGTCAGAAAGTAAAAGGACTAAATAGAACTGAGTTTAGAACAGGAGTAGAAGTAAAGTATCCCAGACAGCAAGATTTATAACTGTGTGTGGCAGAAAGCAGACACAGACTTTAAAAAGACACTAAGCAATCGCTTGGTTAAGGACACACGTGGGAAAGACAACCCATGCCTGATTTCCTGGGATGGGTACGTGACAGGCACAGTGAACTCCTTAACATGCACAAAGACCTTAGGAAAAAGCATCACAAGTCAAAATGTTAGTGATATTCATGAGTCATGGTAACAACACAGGCTGACTAAGCAGTAAATTCTGTACAGACTTAAAATGCAGGGGTTCAGGGAAGCAGGAGACCATGCTGTACGGATAGATTTCCATGAGCCAATGCTCTCTAGTACACTAACCCTATAGTGCTAAAAGTGAAAAATATAAATAACTTTGTAGTTTAAGTTAGAGAAATGTTTGGATTTAAATTGTTAAAATCATGAAAAATCTTTCAAACGATTCTTCCCAAACATTTTCTCTGGGCCTGGAGGGGTGTGGGGGAGAGAGAAGTTCTTCTGGAAAAGACAATTATAAACATTTTGGTGAATTTACACGAGGCATATGTTTTGAGGGCTTCCACGGTTTGCCTGTTTTGAGGGTAGCTGTTAGTCCCTTGAGCAAAGGATACACTGTGTCACAGTATAAAATGTTCATGGAATTCCAGCAGACATCCATGAAATTGGGAGGGACACAGGCATGCCACCTTTTTTTTAAAACCAAAATAGTTAACCCTCAACCCTGTGCAAGAATTTGCATTCAAAAGAAAAAACACAAAACAAACCTCATCCAAACTCTCTCCCTCACCTGCATCAAACTTCGAATACTGCCCAAAATTAACGTGGCTGAGATAGTTAATGCGAATAAATAAAAGGCATGCACTTAAAGCAGTGTTTGCCACCAGCACATGACTTTCTGTTGATTTTGACTTGTAGTTCATTCCCTGGGTAAAAAATATTTGTGTTATCAATTCCCTGAATTAATACCAGTCACTAATCACCTAGTTAATTACAATTGTATATATCCAGGCTAATGTTGCAATTTAAACTATAAAGAATTCATAGGCAGATAATTAGATAATGAATCATGAATGACATTATCTCTACCTTGTAATGACATTACTTATACTAGGTACACTATTTTTGGTGGAAAAAAAGCTCTATTCTATTCAACAGACACTGTACCAAGAGATTTCGTCACAGTGCTATGTATGTCACATTTCAAAGATGTGCACGCTGTTTTTTAAAAGACAAGAAAGTGTTTTCACTAGTCTCGTAAAAAGGCACCAGTCTTGCAAAAGTCTAATGCTTTTTAATGTTAAGTTCAAATATGTGATTAAATGAAAAAATGCTAAAATTGTCAATGCTGAACTAATGATTTTAAATTGTAATGATTTCAAGTTCTTAATAAAAGCATAAAAGAGAACAAGCTGGAATTTCAAGTCACATTTCATCACAATAACTTTCACTGCAATATGAATGTTAACTGTAAAGAAATGGTTTTTTAGCCCTGGCTGGTGTGGCTCAGTGGACTGAGAGCCTGCCTGGGAACTGAAGGGTCACTGGTTTGATTCCCAGTCAGGGCACAGGTCTGGGTTGCAGGCCAGGTCTCCAGTAGGGGGCGTGCGAGAGGCAACCACACATTGATGTTTCTCTCCCTCTCTTTCTTCCTCCCCTCCCCTCTCTAATAATAAATAAATAAAATCTTTTTAAAAAACTAAAAAAAAAAAGAAAGAAAGAAAAAAAATAATTTCCAGCCCTGGCCAGACACTAGACATGTTTCTAAATCTCATTACCATAAAAATGCCAATTTTAAATAATTCATGGCAATGAACATTTTCTTTAAAGCAATTATGAAAAAGTTCTTCCTCATATAACTGTCACTTCCTATAATGCAAGCCTTGATTTTGCAACACAGTGTAAATAAGGTGCGGTGGCAGAAGCCTCATTGCTGTATAACCAGGAAAATGGAAACATTCAAAATGAAACCTTTACTTTCCTTACATGAATGAAGAATGCTGTGAATGTCATTACCACTAGCAGACATATTAGCTGCATGTGTACGAATCCAACTGCTTTGTGTAGGAACAGCCCATTCGAACATTATTTTGAGCCAAATACATAATAAGGTATATGAACAACACTTGAAATACCAGAGAACTGTTTGATCCAGTGTCAACTGGAGCTGTCTGCTTCAAAACTTAATATATGTATTAGTTTGCTCCTACAACGTAACACACAAATGAATAGCTCATTAAGGATAAACTCCTTGTTTTTTTAATCTCTAGAGCTTAGAACATGCCAGGCACATAATAAATGTTTGTGAAATAATGGACTTGTAGGAACAATTTTCCTCAGTGTAAATTCCCTCTTTCCCTGAGTCTTAAACAATTTATAAAGTATGATGATACAAAGAAGTTACAAACAATAAAAATGCCATGATATAAAAAGACAAATTAAAAATCCCTTTGTCTAAACACATCTGAGGCCCAGATGAATGTCATCAGTAGGGGACAACAGTGGCCGTTGCTTTGTAAACAACTCCCTGTGAACCCACAAGACGATGGGAGGTGCATTAAACAGGTAGGTGGCTCATTAAAAGTTAGGGTTTTTTCCTCCAAGGCAACTAACTGTGTGATAGAAGTCAAGGCTTTTTTGTTTGTTTTCTCTCGTGTAGAATATATTTATAGACAAAAACTTTAAGGTTTCAGGAGGCTGAATTACCTCTTTGAAATTTACTGGACTCTATTTAGGAAAATAATGCTGAATTATGTAATTAGTATCTTATGGGCTTAAATAAATCAGTGTACTTAAAATTTTTTTTTGTTATCCTCTCCTGAGGACATTTTTTTCCCCATTGCTTTCAGACAAAGAGAAAGAGAGGAGGGAAAGGAGAGAGAGAAACATCAGTGTGAGGGAGAAGCATAGACTGGTTGCCTCTCGAATGCGTAGAGACCGGGAACTCCTGCCCAGACTGGGGGTTGAAGCCACAACCTACACATGTGCCTTGACCCAGAGTTGAGCCAAAAACCTTTCAGTTATGTGATGCTCCAACCAATGGGGCCACACCTGCCAGGGCATAAATAAATCAGTGCATTTGAAAAAAATTGATGTACTCCCAAGAATGAACAGAATAATCCATTTACCAAAGTTCTATATTTACACTAAATTGAGCAGTTTTAGTGTCAGAATAGATTTTGGAAATATTTCTCCAAAGAAACCATTCTATTCATGATTATATTTTCATGTTTCTAAAATAAAGTAAATCAATAATTTTGGCATAATATCTTTACTTTTGGTGGGGGAAATCAATCGTGGCCATAATCTCTCTAAATGGTTCAATCAGTTTTGTAGTTGAACCAATAACTGCATGGAGGAATTGCTTATATGACTTAGTACTGCACAGAACTATGAGAAATCATTTTTGGAATAATATATTTAATATACAGAGTTAATTATACAAGAAACTTTAGATTTATAACCAAAAATACAATATTTAGTTGAAGGTATACAATAATTCATCATTATGATTAAAAAGGAGACTAGAAATCCAAGTAAACATATCTATCAGATAAGCAGTCGGACGTGAAAAGCAAAACTAATTTGGATTCAGAACATGGCACACACGCATTTCAAAATGAATAGTTATCAGATTAAAGGATATCACTAAGCAGTAGCATTTAAGAGATTCTGAATTTTTCACCATGTGAAAAATTTCTATGTTCATTAAGTTCCTGTATGCTTTCCACAGTAACTTATAAATTATTTCTTTATTTGCAAATCAAAGCCTTATTGTTGGCTTAAGTATTTTTGTTAAGCCAAATAAGGCAGTTTATGATTTTCTATAATTTTTATTAAGTTTCATTTCCTGAATACTATCACATATAATTAAACTTAGTTTAAAAATACATCTTCGACTTCATATTTATTTCCTCCTAAGCAGGAATAGGGCATTTAGGTATGATTTGGGGGAGTCATCATGCCAAAACTCTGTGATGCTTATTTTGTGATTAGAACATTTCAGGAAATGAGCATTAATTTTTAAACATTTTATAACATTATCAATAACTTTACATATGCTATAGAGCTGAGCTATGCAATGTAGTAATGACCAGCCGCATTTGGCCCCTGAATACTTGAAGAACTGAATTTTCAATTAATTTTATATTAAAAAATTATAATAGTTTTGGTTATTGGAAAACTTTTACATGTGTTTGAACAACTTAGGTTTATGACTCTACTTTTTTACCTACAAATTTTATGGAATCTAAATACAGCAAGTATTACTGATGAAACTTCACTGTCCAAATTAAGGTGCACTGTAAATGTAAAAAACAAACCAGATTTCCAAAACTTTGTATTAAAAAATGTAAAATTATCATTAACAATTTCTATGTTGATAACTTTAGTACCTTGCATTATATTTCTCGTGGACAGTGCTGATCTAGACTGTATGAAAATTGCTATTTTTAAAGTCATGTTTTAAATTTTTTATTTTAATGTCATTCTTTCCATCACATTCTTATTACTATGAAAAAGTAAATCAGATTACGTATTTATCCAGTGAGAAGTGCGCTAATTGCCTTCTCTGTACCTTCTCCCTTCTCCAAATCGCTAAGCCCTCGCTAGCACCAGCAGCAGAATGCAGGATCACAGGCAGTGAATATGCGGACACGGTGTGTGAGAGCACAGATGAGGGTGGCAATCAAATTAAACTTCTCACACATGACGGATTCTCTCTTTTTTTACCCTCCACTGTTTCCAGACCTATCTGTCCCAAATTCTAGAATTAACCTTCAACTTCCTCCTGAGTTCTGTTGTGCCATGGTTTCCAGTGTGGAATAATAAGTGATGACTTTGCTCAGCGAGGTGCTTGGTCTTGTGTTAATACTAGATTCTGTCCAGGCCCGAGAGCTTTCATCCTTCAGGGTGGACAGCTTCCTCTGGGAGAAGGGTTCAATTCCCAGAAGTCTGAACACCGCCACTCGGTACTTCTTGGACATGATGTTGTACAGGATGGGGTTGATGGCGGCGCTGAGGTAGAAGAGGACAAAGGACACCAGGTTGCAGTACTGGCTGATCTGAGCAATCTCCAGGGAGCCAGGCTCGAAAGACTTGGAAAATAGGTATCGCCCTACGTGGAAGGGTAGCCAGCAGAGGATGAAAGCAAACACCACCACAGCTGAAAGAACAATGGGAGAGTGAGCATCAGTTCAAGAAATGTCCTGAAACATCACCTTTTATTTGGAAGGCATTGTTTTGATTTGCTTCTATATGGTGTGACCACTGACTTCAGAGAAACATTATGTTCTGCCCTTTGTCATTCCTACGTTTTCACCAAGATTGAGTCTGTCTGGAGCAACAGTTCAACCCTTTTTACTGAGTTTCCCAGTCATTCCTACTATCAACTTTTTGAGTGATTTTGTGATTGGTCTGACATATCGCCTCCACTGATTAGACTAGTTGTTCACAATAGTTCACCACTTTATCTGCGTTAGACACCAGCAGCGCCTGTGAGGGGGAGTGGCCACACTCTGCCTGCCACAGCTGTGGATCAGAGCTCCCTGCGGCACAGAGTCCTCGGATGTGGCACAGACTCATTAAATGAAAATCTCTAGTTAGGAGACGAGGACGCCTGTTTTTTTCTTTTCTTTTCTTCTTCTTTTTTAAGTTTCACAGAGGACTGAACATACAGTCAGGACTGAGAACCACTGAGATGCGTCCTACGGTAGACATCAGTAAGGTATAAAAGCCCATAAAATCAACCGATTATCATCCATTAATTATCATCCATCCAAGTCTTCATGTTGCCCATTTTTTAAGACATCTGCATTTCTAGATTAAGTTTTCAGAATTCAGAAATCAGAGGAAAAAGGACAGAAATATTTTAGTCCTTGTATTACTTTAGTGATTCCCGTCAAATGGTCAAGGCAAAAGAAAATCATCATTGGTGTTGAGACACTAGTCAGGATAATTATTGGCTTAAAAGAAAATTGAAGGAAATGATTAAACTTATGCCAAAAATTAAGTTGCATAGTAACCCCTGACTGTCACAGTAGCCCCATGAGCATCAGAGTCCTTGGGGCACCCTAGCAGGTTTGTGATCTACTAGCCTTATTGTGAGAACCACTTGTCTAGAAAATGACAATTTGGGGTGGTCTTTGAATAAATGATCACGTTAATATACAGGAGCCTAAGAATTGTGAAATTACAAATACAAGGGTGGGCAAAGGTAGGTTTACAGTTGCGAGTACCTGGTACAGTTTATTTTTGTATTATTATTTATTAATTATTGTATTACTTATTAATTATTGTATTATTTGCACTACAACTATAAGCCTAATTTGTCCACTCTGTAAGTAAACAATACAGGTGAGGCAAAAGTAGGCTTACAGTGGTTTGTATGGGTAATAATATAATACTTAATAAACAATCATACAAGAATAAACTGTTTGGTGTACTCACAACTGTAAACCTACTTTTGCCCCACTCTCTATTGACTATAATGTCCAAATAATTAAGTGTATAGACTCTGGTTCTGAAAAAACAAGTAGAATTAATACTTGTTTGGGTGTGAAGACAGTCTTTATTACTTCACTGGTACCAAACGCACACACTTAAAGAAGTTGAATTCATACACTACATATTCAGCAGTCTCCAGCCATGACACTGCACCCAAATGTCCCCTAAGGGCCATTTGTGGAGGGACAGCAAGTCCTGTCCACTTCCACACAGTCTCTTTCTCATGTTGGAAACCCACCGGTTCTAGCTTACCCTAGATTATGGACTTTTCTGCCTGGAAAGACAGGTAATCATGAAAGGAAATGGAGCCTCCAGAACTGATTTGTCACTGATTTCCTCACAAAGCTACACAAACATCAGCAAGGTAAACAGAATTGATTTGATTATTTGATTCAAGAAAAATGCAGGGCACAAAGCAAATCACAATACTGAAAGAAAAATGATTCATCTTTGACAGAATTATCCAAATTGATTGTATCTTTGGTTAAATTTACCACTGAATACTTCCTTGATTTAATGCCTGCGTTTCTTAGTGTAACTTAGACATCTACAAATTTTCTCAGAGACAGGAAGCTTAACCCCACCTTTAACATTTAAAGATCACAAAGTATGTGTTTATAAAATATCTCAATTTTGAAGCAAAGTTTCTGGGCTGATATAAAAAACTCACTTTAGGGAAATACATGAGTGGGACATTTGTCCACGAAAGAGAGAAAGGAAAGCCGAGAAGAAAGAGACACAAAGAGGTAGAGACCTAAAGAGAGTCGGGACTGTGCCCGAGTTGGGACGGGGGCAGAAAAGAGGGAGGGAGGAAGGGAGGGACGGAGGGAGGGAGGGAGGGAAGGAAGAAGGGAGGGAAAGAGAAACAGGTAAAAACAGGAGCAAAGAAGTTTTTTTAAAAAAAAATCCTAGAGGGAAACGGGACGCGCACACCGGACAGAAAATCTAGGAGACCAAAGAAGGAGCTGAAGACAGAAACAGGAGGGAAAGAAGAATTGAACACACACGGAGACCGAGGCGGAGAGAAACGGGAGAGAGCGGCAGAGACTCGGGGAGAAGGCGCGTGGGGAGAGGAGGGCGCGCGGGAGCGAGAGCCGGCGGCGCGCGGAGACCCACCCAGCATCTTCACGGTCTGCCTGTGGCTCTGGTCCCTGAGCGAGGCGGCCACCGCGGCCTCGCCGCGCCCCCTGCGCCACAGCTTCCTGCCGATGAGGCTGTAGAGCACAGTGAGGCAGAAGACGGGCAGGAAGAAGAAGATGCTGGACACCCACACCATGACAGTGAGCAGCCCGGAGCTGACGGCGAACTCCGTGGCGCGGCACTCGTTGGTGTCCCGAGGGTCGGTGCCGTTCTCGTGCTCCACGCCCACTAGCACGAAGATGGGCCCGGCGCTGCAGAAGGCCACGGCCCAGATGACCAGGATGACCAGCTTCACCCGGCCTTTGGTGACCACCACCTTGGCCCGCAGCGGGAAGCAGATGGCGAAGTAGCGCTCGATGCTCAGCGCGGTGATGGAGAGCACCGTGGCGTAGGTGCAGCTCTCGCTGACGAACTGGAAGAGTTTGCAGAGCAGGTCGCCGAAGTTCCAGGGCCGGTACTGCCAGAGGCGGACGAGGTCCAGGGGCATGCAGAGGAAGATGAGTAGGTCGGAGAAGGCCATGCTGGACAGGTAGAGGTTGGTGGTGGTGCGCAGCTCTCGGAAGCGCGACACCACCAGCATGGTGAGCAGGTTGCCGGCAATGCCCACCACGAAGAGCGCCACGCAGGTGGCGGTGACACCCGCCAACAGCGGCGCAGGGAAGAGCGGCAGCAGCTCGTCTGCCAGCGAGTCGTTGTCGGGGGAAGAGTCCCAGCCCAGGTCCGGCAGCGTGAGGTTGGACCCCGGCTCCTCAGTCGGCGTCGCGTTCCACATGCCGCCGACACCACTTAACTGGCTCTGGGATGCGAGAGGCTGGACCGCGCTGGTCCCCAAGAAGGTCGCCTTAGGCTCCGGAGAGTGCGAGGGAGGAGCGGGAGCGCAGGAAAGCTTGGTGAGGAAAAAGAGGGAAGTGAGAATAGGACGCTGAGGTAGAAGGTGACATTGGCAGCCAAGGGCGGGGGGCCGCGGGGAGAGGGAGGCTTAGACACACGCGCGCGCGCGCATGCACACACACACACACACACACACACACACACACACAGGTGGTAAGAACAGAGTGTGACCCACCGCTCTTTCTGGAGCTTCCCCTTTCCTCCATCCTCTCCCCCAAAGTCTCTCTGCGCCCAGCATCCGGCCGGCCTCCACACACGTACCTGTCACCGAGGCAGCCCCGCCAGCCCTGTCTTGCCTTCGCCTTCCTGCTCCAGCTGCATCTCGCACTTGCCCAAGCGTCCCCGGGAGCGGGGACCTCGGAGACCATGCACTTCGAAACGGGAGCGCAAGGAACTCTCTCCACGGCTTTGCCCGCTGCCTGGCTGGTGTGGCTCAAAAGGGCTGGTCACACCCGGAGGGGGCGGGGGCGGGGACGGTGGGGGCAGCGGGCATAACTCCTCCAGTAGCCGAGACCTGTGTTTTCCCTCAACAAGGGCTAGACTTGGGTAAGCAAGACTGCCCAAACTGAGCCTGGAAAATGGGGATAGGGAGTAAAAAAAAAAAAAAAAAAAGAGGGACCTAGTGTTGGTGTTCCAACCAGAGAGGGGACCTGTGCACACCTAAGGGCTTCACGCAGCTCTGGAAGCTATTGTCGTGTTAGGAGAGAAGCAGGTCCAGAGACGAGTTGCCACTTGTTCAAGGTCACACAGCGAGTTAGGGACTCTGGGCTCTCCCACCCGGTTTGGATTGTTGAGCGCAAAGGTGCAAGATGTGTGCCTGCCCAACTGTTCTGAATCCCAGCCCTTCCTACAGCCAGTCCCCCAACTCTGCGGCGGTAGGGAAAAGGTTGTGTAGGTTACTTTTGCCTGACGCAAACCTCGGGGGAGAAAGAGGGGCAAAAGGAAAGGGCCGTGGTGGGAGGAGAGTGGAGCTGGCAAAGGAGGAGGAACAGCGGCTGTGAGACTGACACATCAAGGGTACACAGTAAACATTTTTAGAGGCATGAATGAGGGAGATCAGCCACTGGGTAGCTGTGCTCGCTTGGGCAAAATTATCAATCTTTTTACATTTTGAGGATGGTGTGGAGGATAGACATAGGCTGAGTTGCTGTAATTGGGGCTACTGTTGAGGGGCAGGAGCTGTGCCCGGTGGGAATTGGTCCGAAGCCCCCCTTCACTCTCCAGGTGACTCCCGTGGCTTCAGCCTGTGCGACCCCTGCTGGGAACCAGGAGTCAGCAGTTGAAGACCTGAGACTGGCGGCTTTAGGTGAACGTCAGTAACCTGCCGGGCTTCTCTCTGCGGGTCAACCTGGGAGCAGACGGGGAGCGTGTTCAGCACCGCGGCTAGCAACCGGTTACTGCGCAGCGCAGCTCGCGACCCGCCTCTCCACCTGCGTGCGCTTCAGCATCTGTGCTGGGCTAGCACAGACCCGGGACAAGCGGCTGAGCCGACCTCTCCTAACCGAACTCACCTGCCCGCGGCCTAAATGAAAATCCATTCACCCTGTTTGACCGAGGGCTTTCCCGAGACATTTTAGTGCAAGTTTCTCCCGAAACATGCCTTGACAGATGTTTGCATCATCAATACCACCTAAGTTGTTAATGCTTAAAAATCCACAAAAACCTGAGGCTGGACGCACGCGCACGTGCTCGAACGCGCACGTGCTCGAGAGATTCCACACTTGGCGAGCGACTGCGGAAGGGAGTCTGGCACAGGCAGCCTACTGGAGAGCATGCTACATAAGTTGCCCTGGTGTGTTACAGATGTTGGACCAAATTGACTTTACGAGAACATTTATTTCAAATTACTATTAAAAAAAAATCACAAGTCAAGCCACCAATAGCTAACAAGTTTAAAACAATACTTTGATTTCAACACTTCCCACCCTTCATTAGCAGTAGATTTCTGTGTGCAGACAGATCTTTAGGAAGGAAACAGACTGGGATAAATTAAAATACTGCAGGAAGCTATTGTCTAAGAATAAGAATCCGGAAAAGATGGTGAGGTGTACTTCTATTCTACTCAGAGCCAAAACAATGGCTGATGATAGGGGAGAAAATCTTTTCAAAAATCTGTTGTGATAAAAATGTGGCATGTTATCTAAAATAGCCAGCTATTCGACTGCATTCAATAATTGTCTAAAATATAGACAAATCTGTATTGTGTGATCAAGAAGAAACATGACACACTATTGAAATTGATCTACTCATTCACAACACAATAGTATACAGTACGTAAGACTGTCTAGAAGCATGTGCTAGCTACTTGGGATAACAAAATAAATAAAATCCAGGCAGGTCTTATATTTATAAACTTGGAGTCTAGAGAGAAAAAAATGGAGTTAAACAAGCAATTCTAGTACAGTATGAGACATGCACAATGGACTCTGTTGAAATACAAAGAAGCAATGTCTTTCTGCTCTGTCATACTTTGTGAGTGGCTTCCAATATCAAGATCATTTCAAGGTCCAAGATTACTGCTGGAGCGCCAGTCAAGCAAGTCATTTCTAGCCAAGAAAAAGCAGAAGAGGAGGTAAAAAGGGGTTTCTTAGAAGCTCAACTCAAAACTCTCACTTTTATCACAGTGGCCAACCCTACCTTCAAGAGAGGCCGAGGAATATCACTCCCAAGGTTCTTGATTTGGGAAAACAGTTTGTGATCTTTGCTGTATTCCCCATCCGACTAAGTACATTGAGAGCAAAAAAAATATTTTTCTTGAAGTAACCCATAAAACCTAGTACAGTGTCTTGCAGGTAATAGAGCACTTAAAAGTTTACTAATTTGATTGTGTTTATTTTGCATTTGAAATCACATATATAAACATAGGACACATAAGAAGGCTGATAAGAAAATTTAAGTGTTACATTGTGCCTTTAATAAAAAGTCATTTATTTAAATTTTCCATTTAAACTTTGGATATAATGTACTAATATGTTTAGCTTCATCATTTGTATTCGTTCTACCACCTTATGTAGCCTCATTTAAATAATACTGTGCACATACTTCAAACTAAGAAATACACATCACTCTTCCTAGATGAGCAAGCTGTAAGAGTCAAGATTTGATGTCAAGTATATCAACAGAGGAGAAGAAAATTACATTTGTAGAAAAAATTAATCTGGGCACTCAGTCACCTAAAAATCATTTTCTAGTTAGCTAATGAGACACATTATCGTGAATGATCACTATAAATAATTAAATAATCATACAGTTTAGAAAGTCATTCAAAAATCTTTATGCTTTTTTGATGATAGGAGTAACGTATTTCTTAAAAATGCAAACATTATTTTTCTGATATCAATCTCTTTACAGTTCCCTAAATAGTCTAGTGGAACTTTCCATATTTTTCATTGGTACAAAACTACTTTTACATCTGATGTTAAGTATTATTACTTTCAACCTAGTCATTTTAAACTTAAATAATACCAAAATTTGTCTATTAAAAGGTATCAAAGTTATGTATATGTTTATAATTTCAATAGTGACACAAGGCTTATTGAGCCATCCTCACCCTGATTCATGTGGTCTCTATTGACATACTGCTATGAAAGAAGCGTATTTCACTCTTTGATACTGTCAAGCCGTGTGTCACCTGTATGCAGGGACACAAACACACATGCCTTTTTCACATTCCACACATGAATTTTTTGGATTAGATCTATCTTCAAGCACTCACATTTTATTCTGATTTAGATGTTACTAAATCCAGACTATATAATATATTGTGAGAACATTCTCTTTTCTTGAACCACTTTTTGTTTTCCTTTATGTTTGAAACATCTCATTGGATGGTTTGCCTAGTCTCTATGTAACTACCACTAATCCCGCTCTCAGTATATTCTACTGACACAACAGGGTATGAATTTCACCCATGTCTTGGAGACAGCACATCTGGAGACCTCCTCCCCGCTCCTGCTCCCACCTGGACTGTTCTTGTCTGGGCCTGCGGCACAGGCCTTTGTCCTGGTTCTCCATTCTTATCCTGGGCCTTCCTCTTTCTTGGTTTGCTTTTTATTTGAAAGCAGTACATTCTCCAGTAACTTTCTAAGGAAAGGTATATGAGAGGTAGATTTTTCAGGACCTTTCAATCTAAACTATTTTCATCCTACCATAATATTGTTTGAGAGATTTTTTTATAGAATTCTGGTTTAAATATTATTTACATTCAGAACTTTAAAATAATTACATCATGGAATTTCTCAAATGCAATGCTATTCTAATTCCTGGTTACTTGTGTATTATTTGTTTATTTTCCTCCTAGAGCTTTTAATGTTCATTAATGTAAATACTATTCTACAAATATTTTTGACAACCTATGATGCTGAGTACAAATTTAGGCACCATGGATGCAGAAGTGAATAAAAGACTAAAAAATTCCCATCTTTTTGGCACTTATATTCAGCAGTGAAAAATAATATAAAAGATAAGAAAATAAATTAGGTGGTGATAAGTGCTAAGGAGATAAATAAAGCAGAACTGAGGTATAAAAAATCTGAAAAGAAATGAAATTTTAGATAGGGTAGCCAGGGAAGGTGACTTCAGAGTAAATCCTTGAAAGATGTGTGGATACGGAGGGTGGATGGGGAGAGGCGATGGCATTCCAGGCAGTGGGAAGTATGATAGCTTTGTAGCGCCTCAGCATAGGTAAGCTCATTTCAAACAGCTCCCATTTGCATTTCTTGGCCAGGGTTGGCCACAAGAGAAATTTACCCAAGGTTGGTAAGGTGGAAGTGAAGCAGAAGACATTTTTATGCTCAGAAGTTTGTTGAAGGGTCAGGTGCTGTTGCAGCTCATGCCATGGCCACAGATCTGTTGGCTTAACCTCATTGACATGGGGCAACA